AGGCGCTAATCGCGTTCAGTTTTGCTCTCCTTCATTCGAAGTACTTCCTAATTCAGTGCAATATTCATTCTTTTTTCTGATGCAAATAAAGATATCAAAACAATCATAAATATTACAAATAAACCGTTGATTATTTGAAAATTTAGCACAGAACATAGGAAGTATTTATGAGATGTCCTTTATGTAGGTTATATTGATACGTTCGATTTAGATGATTGCATAAAGATCTGTAGACAGACAAAGGTCTAGAAAGACAGTTAAAAACGTATTTAGCAAATGGGTAAGTGAAATGTGGTGTAATAAGGAAGGATTGAGAGGAATTGAATGCCAAAATAAAGACTGGAGTAAGACTTGGTGGTTGTTTGTTGTGTTGTTGTTGATTATTGCCTAGTTTTGGTTGAATCTGCTGAGTGATTTGACTGAGTCACTGAAAGGATCCAGTTGGTTGTAAATAATATTTAAAAGCACTGAAATGAAATAAATCCAAGATGTAAATGATGCAGTGATTGATAGGTATAATTAAATCGTTTTCATTACCATCTCTTCCACTATCAGTGATCGGCTACGTCCGTGCAATACATAAACGTTACCATCAATTGCATAGTAAAATGTATTTCATTAATACTCTCATCGAACAATTTATGTGTACTTTGCACACTTAAACAATGAACTTTTTATGGCATAGGTATGTATTCGTATTCAAAAGACACCAAGAGGATTTGCTTTAAACACCAGTGACTGATTGATCTGGATGTACCTCACATCAGCAGAAATGAGGCACTAAAATTGTAATGTTTTCGAAGAGCGAAACCACATTAAACGAAAAAGCGATTTATTTTGCATTATTGTTTGAATAGAGATATTGATGACAGCACTATCGAATTTTATCTTTCAATAGAATTCGGCTTTATTTCCTTCTATAATATTATCAATTCAAATATCCAACAAACCCTTAAATACAATATCAATGAATCACTCAAAATACCTCGAAAACCCGTCTTTCTGCACGATTATCAGCAGAGTTGTTCTTAAAAATAGGGAAGTGTCTATGTTGTAGGTGTTTTAAAGCGGTAGTTTTTTTTTCGAATAAACGGAAGTAAAGAGCCAAGACCATACAGACTCTCTGTGGGATTCCTCGAATAAGGAATCGAACAAATATGATGATCATGTGCTTGTCAGCAGAGCATCTTTAAGTGGTCATAGAGAGATGTATTAAGATGTTTTGAAACGGATTTTTAAGGACTAATCAATAGGGACAATAGTCAATAGGGTCAAACTGAATTCACTACCCTGAAATCTCTCCGGAACTTTCCATGAGATAAACGAAAGGAAGTTTAGATTAAAGTCTTTAGAATATCTCTCACAAATGACTGATAGAGCGATGAATGATGATCATATTTACTTATGCTATAAACTATCGATGAATTTATCGTCAATTCCGAAAGCATTTGAAATTTTAGTGCTGAAACACTTCAAACCTCAACCAATCAAAGGCATTCACATCGAGCAAGGTCACAGTTTGAGTGTTAATTGCAATATTCCTTATGGAGTACCATCACCCACTGTATTCTGGTTATATCGCGATAAAGTGCAAACGAACATTATCGAAACCATTCGAAGACCTCATATCGCCGTTGATCCAGAAGGTTATCTCTAATATTTCTGTTCAATTGCGGTAATATTCAATAAATTTATCATCTAATATTCAACTTATACAATCCATCCACAACATTTCGTTGAATATTTGCATATCATCAAGTGAACGAATAATATCTGTCATTCTCTTGTTTTTCATTTAATTAAAGATTAATGGATTCGATACGTAGACAATGCGTATTTTTGCATATTCCGAGCGGATGAATTGAATATTACATTAGCGGTTTAATTAAAGCAGAATGCTCAATTCAGGTCGTATTGCATTAGAATAAACAGTATATTTGCATCTTTTTGAGGATTATTCCTAATTCAATTCTTATTTCGTTCGGTTCGGATGGATCGGCGAATCTTTTCCAAGCTAATCAAATGACTGGATGAGTCATACAATTATTTCATCATCATAGATCTTGAACAAAATTACATTTGTTATCATTGTGCCAAAATTATCTCCACAAGCGGAAATTGAATTGATGACATCGCACTTAAAAACCCACTGAGCTCTGGAGTAATACAATTGCATCGCAGAGTTCATTGATAATAGCATGCACTAGTGGTTTAGGGATTCGAGTTTGCTGGCGGAAATGATTAAATGATGATTCAATTCATTTTTAGCATCACATCTTATTATATCGACAAAATATTGCAGTTAACTTGAAACAAATCGATCTAATACTTCTTAGATAACTGAATGAATACAACAGATAAATGTCAGTGTGATCTACTGATCTCAATGAATCGTATGATAAATGGAAACAACTGAATTGAAATGATCAGAATTAGTAGGTAATTGATTAATTCTGTTCAGGAACATTACATTTCACCGAAGTATCTGAACACGATGGACGAAAGAATCTGATATATCAGTGTGCTGCAACCTCACCTGTACTGCATGGAGAGTATCGAGCTGGAGATGAGATTGAATTGATCGTTACCCCTTCTGTTTGTATGTTTTTCACTCGTTTATATTCAGTCACACCATTTACTGAGCCATCCATCATCTCTCGATGAATCTATCATCCATAGTTGATTAAGATCATCTCATTTGATCGTTTCAATATCTCGGGTTTCAGCTGACAGAGGTGTAGCCGCTCATAAGCTATGGTTCAGTCCTGAACAGATTGCAGTAAAGGCTGGTACGAGACTGAAGCTGATGTGTATTTTTGGTGGAAGGTTGTTTTTATTTTTGGATTCATTCATGCATAGTCAAATAAAGGAATAAATAAACAAACAATTGAGCGATAAATAAATAAATCTGTTGGTCATTTATAGAGTGCAACTCTTGCAAATTGTGCAATTGAGTTTGGTGTCACTTTAAAGTAACTCTAAAAGGAAGTGTGCTAAATTGAATTTACATCTCGTGTGTATGTATATATGAGCGCATATAAAGCGTTTACTGATTGGATATCGTAATGACATTCACTTATTTTCAATACTGATAATAGAAGTTTGTTAGTGAGAGAAAAATTAAGTTTGTTACGAAATCGTTAAGCGCAAAACAGTATTACTCATTCAGCCGTTATGCTCTATTATTCATTTTTACATCTGAACAAATTTTTCTAAATATAACAAATTTTCTATACATAACAAACATCTCTACGTATAAAATATAAATAAAATTAAAGCAACAATTCGAAGCCGTTTAAAAGTTCAACCACTCAAGAATATTATTCTGAAACACTCAAAATTTTCACTTAATCTCATGATCAAAGCATGCAAATAACTGTTATTTTCCTTCTACGAGCGATTTGAAGATGCAAAATATCGCCTGTGCGTAATTCACACGGAATCGTTCGTTAAGTTTCTTGTGGCCAACTGAATGAGAAACAATTGAATAGAATGCAAATTAATATCCATTTGGGATGGATCATTTGTATCATTTTTACTTCGTGCATAAAGTTTTACGAAAGAGCATTAAAATAGGCTTTTAAGTTTTTTATAAATTTTCATCAAACTTCAGACCATTACCAACGGTAACGTGGAGTAAGATCGACGGAGATTTACCGGTGAAACGAATGAAAGATTTGACTTCATCGGAATCCGATTTCGGTAAATCGTTGATCGTGGATAGTATACATCCGGATGATGCGGGCATTTATGAGTGCAGATCGCAACATTTAGTGCATCAAATGCACGTGAATATTACAGGTAATAATATTACAGCTTACAGGGCTTGTTCAATTCTTTTTGTTATTTGTTATGTTAAGACAGGTAATAATTCATTGACAATATTTTATTTGCGTCACTTTCAATTGTATCGCCATTTTCAGCAGCACCTTACTGGGAGTTGGAGGCACCCGCAGATGTTGACCTGCCTGAGGAAACTACGGCTGAGCTGAGGTGTTTCGCTTCTGGTAGTCCGAAACCGTTCATACAGTGGTTTATGAATGGAATTCCTTTACACGGTGATTATTTGATGATAACAGGAAGCAACAATGTCTAGTAATTTACATCAAGAATATTTGAGAGCGAGGATAATAATAATGGATAACTGTCTTTTAAAGCACTGATTAATCGCTCGTTATAGCGGATGCTGATGACGTGATTCGATGAGATCAGCGGCAATTCATCGAATAAACACCATATTTTATAAAACTGCCGAGTTAGGCTTGTGAAACCCTACAGTTCGGAAACCACAAACCCGAGTAGAATTGATCGAAGAGATCATAGAACCGATTCCAAGTATTCATTCCAGAAGTGCCCGATAATGGTCGCAGATTGATTCTGGATGGCGGTCGTATATTGAGGATAATCAATCTGGATCATGACGTCGACACGGCAGTATACCAGTGCAATGCATCCAATCCTCTTGGGTACATCTTCGCGAATGCTTTCGTTAATGTCAGAGGTACATTTAGTGTTCATTGCGTTCTGCAACATTTATTACTATCAAAAATGTTTAGTTTTATGATGAGCCTATAACTGGCATGTTAACCGTGCCCATCCACTCATTTAACCGTGCCCATCCACTCATTTAACCGTGCCCATCCACTCATTTAACCGTGCCCATCTACTCATTTAACCGTGCCCATCCACTCATTTAACCGTACCCATCCACTCATTTAACCGTGCCCATCCACTCATTTAACCGTGCCCATCTACTCATTTAACCGTGCCCATCCACTCATTTAACCGTACCCATCCACTCATTTAACCGTGCCCATCCACTCAATGTGAACAGTAATGATCTCAATTAAGCGCACGCTCCTCGTTTCCTGATGCCCAATCATCGAATCTGGAAAGTGGTTCGGAAAACCACCGTTGAAATGTCTTGTGAGGTTGATGCTGCACCGAAAGCTGCAGTAAGATGGGTTGATGAGAATGATCAGGCCATTGCTATCATTCCTGGAAAGATGCAGGTCAGTCATTTTCACTCACAATCGATCAATTCATTAATTTTTCATCCAATCAATTCATATTCTAATTCTAATTTATGAACCGCTGAATACCCTTTTACGAATCAATCAAATTCAGTAAATTATTATCGTTAATAAAAGGAAATGAAGTCGTGATTTAGGAATAACAAAAATAATCAGTGAATTATGCAGCAACTCATTTTCATCTGATTTATTGTCATTCATCATCAATTAACATTAATAACTGTCCATTGTGTTCATGACTGAATATTAGATTATCAGATTACATGCTCCTTAATAAGTCAATTATTGATGGCTTGTTCCATTTATTATTCTATAAGCAATCACCAGTTCTCAAGTTCAGTCCATTCATTATTACTATTTTTGCAGTTATTCCCGAATCACACCCTACGAATAACCCAAGTGAATTCAGCGGATGAAGGTCTTTACTACTGTAATGTTTCGAATAAATACGGCATCAATCGAGCTTATAACAAGCTGGAAGTATTTAGTAAGTTATCAGTGTTGCAAGGTGGATTATCCTTGAGCCATATTTATGAATGAAGCGAACTGCTTCTCGGAAAGATACACACCCGGATGATGTTCATATAATTGTAAAGTGCACAATAAGGCATTCTTGTATGTTAGGTGTAGTCTGGGATTTCATTTTGTGCTAAATTCATTGTATGCTTAAGGTCTTATCTGGGAAATAACGTGAACAATAAGTTAGATTCATGCTCAGTTCGAAGAATTGCTCCTAGTTTTGGTATTTCGCCTTTCAATTTCGAAAATTTAGCCTTAAGTTGATTAGCAAATTCCCAGCACCTCGAGTTATCGACAGCCTGATCTCGAGTTGACATGAGCTGTTTTGATCTGCAGTTGAAGTGCAGAATTATGTCTAAACAATTATACTTGTCAGCACATCAATTGCTAGCAACATATCAGTGAATCACTCAACATATCGCTTGATGTCACTAGATAAACATTGTCGTGATTCAGATCCAACACATTTCGTAAAGGTACCAACACCAAAAAAACAAATCGTCGAAGCACACGAATCATTCGCACTGAATTGTGAGGCAGTTTCGGATAGTCGTTTATCAATAGAGTACACCTGGACTCATAATGGTGTACCGATCAACGATACCGAACATTCGAAGTGATTTATTTCATTTACATCATATTGCTTTGTCTGTTCGATTATCACTCTCTTCCAATGTTTCAGGCTTTATTTCAATTCATTCATTTGATCAAAGACTAATTATTTCTTCCTTTCATTCCTTCCTATTTAATAGCCATTAGAAATTTTATGATGTTTATCAAATTGAATGTTTCAATGAAACTTATTTATACTATAATGAAGTAAATGTAAGAATCAATGAAGAGAACTGAATTAAGGATCACAAATACAACGTTAGTTTTGAAAGATGTTCGTGGATGGCATTCTGGTGCTATCGATTGTGTCGTTGTCACTGATGTAGACGTCAAAATGTCTGGCATTCAACTTGTTGTGCTCGGTCAGTATATGATTACATTCTCTCAATTTATCATAAGAATGCGTGATTGATCATTAAGCNCACAAATACAACGTTAGTTTTGAAAGATGTTCGTGGATGGCATTCTGGTGCTATCGATTGTGTTGTCGTCACTGATGTAGACGTCAAAATGTCTGGCATTCAACTTGTTGTGCTTGGTCAGTGTATGATTACATTCTCTCAATTTATCATAAGAATGCGTGATTTATCATTAAGCAATATTCAGATGTACCAGCAGCACCAATCGTATCCGAGGTGGACTGCAATGAGCGTCGCGCAATGATCAGATGGCAGCGCTCTAGTGANCCCTTCATCGGTCAGAACATATATATCGAGTTTACTAGTACTGCTTGTCGATTACTTTGTAACGGAATGAATTGATCATTGTTGTTATCGTCAAATATATTGTTACTGATGTTATTATATTGGTTCATTTATTATAGCTACGATGATAAGAATCATTTCCAGGGGAAATGGCAAACTGTGGTTGAAGAGGAGAATACATCGACAGACTTTTATCAAGCTGACATCACACTTTCACCTTGGGTATGTCATTACTGACTTCGATATCTTTGTAACTAATGAATACCGCTTGATTCATTGATGAAATCTCATCAAAATGTACTGAAATGACAATTGAATTTAAGGTGAATTACACATTTCGAGTGATCGCCAGAAATTCGCACGGTGAAAGTGAGCCGGGGTATTTGGACGATGTGAAGTGCGAAACGAAGCAATCGTTTCCGTACATTAATCCGCGAGATGTGGTGGTCGAAGGGACTGAACCGAACAATTTGGTGATTCGTTGGAAACCAATGGAGAAATACGAGTGGAATGCACCGAATCTGCAATATCGCGTCAGATATCGACTTAATGAACCTGGTACAGATTGGAAAGAAACACTAATCGAGGATCCACTTGCGGTATTCATTATGCTTTTTCTTATTCTTCATATTACCATTTGAATTCATCAGCTTTGAGCAATGACGTTAAAGAAATAAGTTATTGATATTATGATCGTTTGAATATGAGAATAATCGCATTGTATATTTGAATTTCATCGAGATCTTAATCGAATGGTTCATGATTTGTTTCATTCGAACAAACCATAATGAGTGCTTTTGTGAATAAACGGATAATTATATTAGTTATCCAGAATGATCACAATTGATGATCATTTGATCTAGTGGAGCGAATCATGATCAAATATTTCAGAATCATACAGTGATCAGAGATCAACCAACGTTTCGTGAGTATGCAGTTCAAGTGGAGGCACTCAATCGGATTGGCAAATCAATTATTGAACCGGTCACCTTTTATGGTTTTTCTGGGGAGGATGGTCAGTTCGACATTTTTTCATTCATTATATCATATGCTTATTTGACTCTTCATTTATTTCTGTTCGTTGTGTTGTATATTTTCACTGTGTAAACATATCACTAATTCAAAAAATTGTTGCTGCAAACTTATCAATTTCCAGTGCCCCTCGAATCACCGGATCAGTTCAATATCGTCGAGTTTTTAAATTGTTCTACTGTCACTATCGGTTGGACACCAATTAATCCGGATACCGTTAGGGGGCACTTCAGAGGCTATGAGGTTTGTTTTCCTCAAGACTCTGAAGAATTTTCGGTTTTGGACTAGTTCTACGACGTTGTACGGCTCTGTCTGAAAGATTTCAATTTTTTTCTAAACATTCAAGTCATAGCTCCCCGTAGGAATTGAATGAAATAAAGTTATTTGCAATATAATACATTTTGCTTGTGATCACATTTTGCTCTCAAAATTCGGCCACAACAAAACTATTTGGCAGTTAGCTGTATCATGATATTTCTCATGAAAATTAGCTAGATCTTATTGGTGTGAATTAGTAGATTATAATCATTTCAAACGGTGATGTTGAATTAAATGTGAATTTCAGATAGAATATTACGAGACCGATAAGCCGTTCATGGTTGAGAAGATACTAGTGGATAACAGCAGCAATCAGGTGATTTTGAACGATCTGGAAGCGATCAGCAATTATACGGCACGAATATTCACTGTTAATAATCGTTATCGAAGTGAATCGCAATCTGTAATCTCATTCTGTACGCCTGAAGGATGTAAGTACTATTCCGTTCCAGATTTGTTGATTCGTTTACCGTGATTAACATTCACTTTGTTCTTATATTGCTAAGTGAAAAGATTTTGTTACCTTCAATAATATCGCTTTCATTTAAACCCATTCATTCATGCTACTTATCATCGTCTCGCTCACAATTAGCTTATTGGCTCATCATTCACTTGAACATA